AACAAAAAAAATTGATGAAGCTTTCGAATATTTTTATCTGTTTACATTACTTGGAATGATTACAAAGATTTTACCACGGTACGAGATTCTGATAGTTTCCACCAAGTTATCTTACATAAGAAAACAAAATGAAAGAAAGACTTTCGGAGTTGCTATAATTTATATCATTTTTGATTCGAACTTCCTCTAATTTCGATGGAAAAAGAAAAACATTTACGATTTATTTGCTTTTTATGTTACACGAAATAGAATGTTTCTAAAATTAACTTAGTTTTATACATATAAAAAAAGCACATAAGATGATTAGGCTCGTGTTAAATGGTCATGTTACGACGTAGCTGGCCAATATTACTGTTCATTTGAATACCATCCAAAGTCATCATGTCAGATGAGTTCGAACGTATTAAACTAAGAAAATGTTTTCAACCTGTTACAACTAATGCTGGGCAATTTTGAAAATTAATCCTGATTCGATTTGTTTAAAACCGTATTTTGTCTATCACGATTTATAGCTAAGATCTTAACTGAAAAAAAATCGAAACATTCTGAAGAAACAATAATAAGTGTAGAAATGACTAGATTTTTCTTTTTGTTAATTCGATTTAAAATTAATTGAAAGTGTTGAAAACTCCTATTAGAAAAGCGTATTCATGAACTATCAAAAATCATGATATGATTGAAAAGAATCTATCCGATTCTATAAGAAATCTGTTAGAATTTCTCAAAAATCAAATATCATTTTTGAGAACTTTACAACACATGATAAGGTCATTTCTAATCAAGTTAAGTCATTCTTAGCGAATACGGGGATGCTCCATAGGAAATTCCTGAAATAGATTAAAGTGCAGATGTTTACTTTTCAATTTAGAGCATGACTAAAATTACTAAATAGTCATAATAAGTTACAAGTTGATGAGTTTCTTCATTACCAAGTTGTTTGAATTTTCACAAATTACTGAGAAATTTTGAAAAGATTCAAAAATTTTCAGCTTTTGTGAATGCGCTTCTAAAATATTCATATCAATGTAAAAGAAATTTGAATAATTCGGTTATTGTAGGGATTTCCCAGAAATTACTTTGTTATATGTCGAAAATAGTCGAAATTTCTTTCTTAGCAACCAATAATTATCGAAATTCTACAGACAACTATGGACTCATGTGCTAATCATCTTGGCGATTTCTTTTCTTGAAAATTTGACTCTTACTGAATTCAATCGTTGAAGAAATATACTACTTTCATCTAGATAATGAGTGCTATGGGATAAATGTTTCTCTGCATATTCTCTTAATATTCCGATCAAGCTTCATTGCAGTCTTAATGTTCTTTGAAAGATTTGCTACTTAATTCTCTACAAAACGATCAATTTTAATCGACAATCAAACTGCCTACTATTTATTGAATGTTTATAAATATAACACGAACTTTTCTCATCGATTAATATTGATCATTTTGTTGAGAATTAAATTGTAAATTATTTTCTTACCTGTAGATTAACTTTGACTATCACAATTTAAATCATCATTGAAATTCGTGACATTATGGAAATAACGAAAGGAACGCTGTTTACAAAACCGATTACATTCTTCGAAAGGAAGAAACCAGTACCTCCTAAATCGAGTATTAGCCCTCAAAGAAACAAAACATTGACCAATAAACCAATTGCATCATCATTGAGAGAAACCGAAATTGTTGCTGATGGTGCAGTCCAAGAAATACCAATATTCTCAGATGATATAACTTCACCGTCCTTAAATGACACTTGTGGCTCCATAAGATCAAGGCGTATTCGTATTGTACAAAATTTCACATTGGTATGGTTAGACTCGAGCATTGATGAAACAGATCTAGGCTATAAAAGCTCATTACACAAACTTCGACGAATTGTCAATATCATCAATACATTTCGAGATGTTCAACAATGTATCGATTTTCTTCAAGATATAAAAGATGTAAAGGCATTTCTGATTGTATCAGGTGCTCTTGGAGAGTCAACATTACCTCAAATTCATAGTATGTCTCAACTTGATGCTATTTATGTATTTTCTACTAATCCATCTGAGCATGAGCATTGGGCAAACAAATGGAGCAAAATAAAGGGTATATTCGTTCAAATCGACTCGATTATTGATATACTCAAACGTGATGTTCAACAATGTAACCGTGATTCGATGTCAATTAGTGTTACAAGTAAAGATTTCAGTCGTCTTGATCCATCTTTTATGTATACGCAATTACTCAAAGAAGTTCTCATTGAAATGTCACATGATGATAAAGAAAAGATCGAACTTGCTGAATTTTGTCGGGAACAATATCTTGACAGTCAATATGAATTACAAATGGTTAATGAATTCGAACAAGATTATCATATGCATACACCAATTTGGTGGTACACACGCGAATCTTTCGCCTATCAGATGCTTAATCGAGCTCTACGAGTCGAAGATATCGAAATTATTATCAAGATGCGTTTCTTTTTACGTGATCTTCATCGACAAATCAAAGAATTACATTCGAAAACTGAACACAATGGTCCTTTTACAGTTTATCGAGGTCAAGGCATGTCAATCATAGACTTTCAAAAAATCAAAAATAGTGAAAATGGTCTTTTGGCATTTAACAGTTTTCTGTCAACAAGTCTGAGCGAAAGTATTTCATTAGGATTCGCTCGTACAGCATTATACAATCCCGATTCAGTAGGCATTCTCTTTCGTATGACTATCAATCCATCTGTTTCGTCTACTCCATTCGCCAATATCGACACTATTGGTTTCTACAATGACTTAGAAAAAGAAGTGTTGTTCTCAATGCATACAATATTTCGAATAGGTCAAATTAAATCTATAAAAGATCGACTATGGTGTGTAGAACTTTCATCGGCTAGTGAAGATGACGATCAAGAACTTAAACGACTCACGGAATATGTACGAAAGGAAACACAAGGAAAAACAGCATGGCATCGAATCGGTAAATTATTGATTAAAACAGGAAGTTTTGATAAAGCTGAAGAAGTGTGTGAAATGTTACTTCGAGAGACATCGAAATATGATAGAAATGAACTTTCACTTCTTTATTTTCAACTTGCATATGTCAAACGGAACAAAGGTAACTATGATGAAGCTTTGAAGTTCTATCAAAAATCACTTGAAATTCGACAAAATATTCTCTCTCAAAATCATCCAGATTTAGCTGATACTTACACTGCTATCGGTCTACTTCATGACAATAAGGGTAAATACTTGAAAGCACTTGATTTCTATCAAAAATCACTTGACATTTGGAGAAACATTCTCCCTCCAAATTATTCAAAATTAACTTCGATATACAACAATATTGCAACGATATATATGAATATAAAAGAGTATTCAAAAGCATTGGAATATTTTGAAAATTCATTAAAAAATGAACAGAAATCACTTCCATTAAATTATTCCAATTTGGCTATTACCTACGGTAACATTGGTTTTATGTATAAAAAATTGACACAATTTACAAAAGCACTTGAATTTTTTCATAAAGCACTTAAAACTAGTCAAAATGTTCCTACTTTAAGTCGTCCATGGTTGACTAATATCTACAATAACATTGGTTTGTTGCATCAAAATATGAAAGATCATTCAAAAGCATTGGAGTTTTATCATAAAATGCTTGAATTTCAAAAAGGATTTATCACTTCAAAACATCCAGAGTTGGGTAATACATACTGTAATATAGCTTTGATGCATTACAACATGCAAGAATATTCTAAAGCGCTTGAATTTTATTTTAAAGCTCTTGAAATGTATCAGAATAATATTCCTCGACATAACGTAGCTTTCGGCATTGTCTATAATCAAATGGGTGAGGTCTACGAAAAAATGGGAGAATACGCTAAAGCAATTTCATTTTATCAACAAGCAATTGAAATCGGACAAAAATCACTGCCAGAAAACGATCCTTGTCTTCAGTCATGGAACAGACGCCTTGTTACAATCCAAAACAAAAGTATCTGACATTTACTAATTTTAATGAATAAATGACCTTGTATGATTGTAATTCCTGACAAGAGTATTATTTTGTCCTAGAAGTGATGTTCAACAATATCAGAAGGACGATACATTTAGGCATGCCTTATCTTTGTTTATCTAACAGTTACGAATTTTTGCGGCATCAATGTGATTAAGAGTGCGTGACACTGCTTATGAGAGTGTGTTACAAGCTCTGTCTTCCCTATAAAATTGCGGGTTCATGTTTTTTTTAGACCCACACCCTCGCTAGCCTTCACACTATGTTTTCCTTTCACTGGACATGGTATCTTTCTTTCTTCGATCGCATATTATCTTTTCTTTTTTTTTTATGTTCGTCTTTTCATGAGAACCATCGATGTGTATAATTATAGTACATCAACAATTGAATCTCTTAACTTTGGGGCCCCCAATATATAAGCCTTCTAGCAACGATGATAAATGTTTTTATTTAAACTATAAAATCCAGAAATAAACTCTTTAAAATTTCAATTTTGTACTAAAATTCATTTTTTTCTAAACTTAACAAAACCTTAGTCCTGTATCCAGATGGTTTCGAAAGATAAAAGAATGACAGATCAACATTCTGAAGTCTATGTAAATACGACATCTAGTATCTGAGTATAGATGATAGAATGTGAATGTTTACCACAGTTCTCATACTTCAAACATTGACACACATGCAAACTAAAACTAATTCTCACACTCAATTTTCAAAACAATTGTCGAAAAACCTGGTACATATATGATACGATGTAATTTCATCTTTTAATTTTAACGATAAAAATACTCAAATCTTAATCTTTTTTCTCTTGCACACTATTTACCAAAGTACTTATTTTATTTCGAAATGAATCATAGTTATCATCGGCATTTATTTTGAACAGTTCGGTTAATTTACATACGTCTTGTAAAAGTAAAAACAGTTCGAAAAATGGAACTTGTTTGTAATACAGTCGATTTGATCAAAGTTTTTAATGTAGATCATCGACTTCATATTACGAAATCGAACAGCATACATATCGATGTGCACATTTATATCCGAGACAGCCACATGTATTTAATGGATAGTCATTTTCATAAATTTCTGGATTATTTTTAATATCACGTCTATAAAGCAGAAAAGTGAAGGTAGTTGGACCTAAACGAAAAATATTTGATATCAATAATGACGAATATGATAATATAATCATTGACCTTTTTGTAAATTTGCTTTATTCGTGTAATTTCCTGCATGATAATCTATCTCGACAATATCAACACGTTGATTTGAGCATGTCACTCGTCGTATTCGTGTTGATTTATCCATTGTGTTTACATGATTATCTTTGAATTGTTTTTCAATGATCTTTCGAAAATCATGTGGGCTTTGTTCTGTAATGTGAGAATCAAGATCAACGAATTTGACCATAAAGATTCATTTTCATATAAGACATCATCTTCAAAGAACTCATTTTTTCCAGTACTGTTTTTAATGCATTCATCTGGTAAAAATATATTTTTAGAATAAGTTACTGAATGTAAAGTGTATCGTTGACAATGCATTTCACTTCGTTGCAAAATACTGCCGCTATTCAAACATTTCACACAATTTTAAAATCCACTGCTGTTGCACTTTGAACATGGTTTATCCTTAGTTTGTCCAAGACCAACACAAGTTGGGCAAGTTTTTTTTTCTTGACCGTTGCATGCAGTACAACTGATTTTCTTTTGTGTTCCGGATAATATGATTCGTCCAGTTTGTTTTCCTTCTGCAATGGTTGTATCGGCTTTTAAGTTATAAATTTCATCGTCGAATAGATTGTCAACCTCTCTACCTGGTGTCTCGTCACCTTTATATGGACTACTAAGTGATTTTATCCATCGTTTTTTCATCAATGTCCATATGCCAACTTGAAATCCTACACGTACATTTGCTTTGATTATTTTTGCTTCGATAGCAGCATCTGAGTGATAACAGAATTTTCTGCTCACATGTTTCCTTAGAAGAGTTAGATATTCGTTTTTAATCTCGCCGTCAATGCTAACAGATATTTCGACTCTATTAGTTGTATAAAATTCCGTAGCAATGGTCGGAGCCGCATTTACTTTATTTGTTCGCGACATTTATATAAACTTCTTTAGCGTATTATATAAATTATAGTAAACACATTTTATGAAGTATAATATTAAATTAAGCGAGTTCGAGTTTTTAAACGAACATTTCTTACTTCTGTCCTCATTTGCCGATAATTAGATTTATACTGAAGGTTTTCTTTTTATACGCAAAAAATAGAACTAATTCAAGAAACTTGCTCTCATTTTACTCATAATCAGTATATTGTTAGATTATCTGTATTCAATTTCAACTTGGAGAAACATATCAACAGTATGTTTTCGTACTTTAACGCTGAAATTGAGAAGAATGAATACGAATGTAAAACTATAACAAGACAAACGAAGATAAAAAGAATGAATGCAAAATGGTGAACAGCAGCATTATAATTAGAAATTTAAAAAAAGAGAGTTCTAACCATCAATGAATGCGCAAAATTATTCCAAATAAACAAATTTCATCTGAATAACTCTTGCTTTCGAACTAGATTTCTCGTTTTTTTCTGTATAATCCTCTGTGTGATCTCTATAGCTCATTAAATTAGTTGCATCGAAGATACAAAATGATCAATAATAGATGAAGTTGAACGAAACACATAAATTTTAAGGTTTCAAATGACTTTAAGTGTCGATTTTCATAATGTAAACACTGAAATAAGTTTCTAAAAGATATATAGGATATACTAGTGATAGTAATTGAAATCACTCTTTTTAGAGCTCTTGTATCCGTTTTAGAGTACAGGAATTAAACATTTATAGGGCATTTACTCATTGAGAAATTAGACTTTGGTAGAAAGGAATCTTATGTTGTTTTTCAAAGGTTTTTGTTATTACCGGAACTTGAGAGTATTACTCACTGATTTTTTATGACCCTAGAAGATTACGAATAATGCTTTATCCTATAACATAAAATAGATTTAATTTACACTTATTGTTGATTTAGTAGTTAGTTTATTAACATACCTTAATATAATGGTTCCACATACTAAAGCCTACTCAACTTGGTATATGTTTCAGGTAAACGGAAATTGAAAAAGTATTTTTTTTGTCGTTTGTTCATATTCTGTACTTACAGGAGCATTTGTTTTGCTTTACCGCTCTAATGGAAGAGAATATCCAAACATTATTTCGTTGAAATTAAGGTTTCTTTAGGGATAAATTAATAATAAATCCATTTTTTGTACAAAAGTTTGTGAACTATCATTGTAACTTATAGAAATTAGTAAGTATTTCATTTCAATTTATGCCTATCACAATCAATCGCTGCACTAATAAAACGAATAGCAATAGTTTTTAAATATATAATTTATAGAAGAAATAAAGTTGCAATATCAGAGTTAGTTTTACAAAATGAATACAAAACATTATAAAATTATTCAAAAGCGGAGATTAGACGGCTTACAGGTTACATCAGAAAACTAAATAATAAGAAACAAAGGTTTAACCACGCTGAAGTTTTTCAAGTCTAACCTGCCTGACAAGGTCTCTTTAATGTTATTAAGTCAATGTTACTATAATAGTAAGACATCATTTAGTATTCATCTTCATAGAAAGTCTACTCAGTCCTATACAGAGGTACTCCCTTCTAATCTGTGTATTTTAACATATAAGAATAGAAATCCAACAATTAATATGTTAAGAATTCTACGTTGCGCTTCGTTTTTTTCTTCTAATAAACTTCATGGCAGATGTCGAAAGAAGTTTTCAGAAAAAACCTGATACATGAGAACCGATGTTATTTCGTCTCCTATTTTAAAAAGTGGAAAATTATCGGTCTCTGTCTTGTTTCAATCAAAAATCATTCCAAACATACCGAGAATAATATTTATGTATTATCATAAGAAGGTTTTCTCTGAGACTAGGTCAATGCTGAGCAAACACCTTTCAATTCACTGTAATAAAGTATTCACATAATAAAGGTGCTAATGTTATAAGTTTTAACTCTACATTTAATGTGAATTGAAAAGTAGTGATATCTCAGGAAATAAAGAAATGGAACAACAACTTAAATATTAAAAAAAACACTCTAGTTTTTGCTGAAAAGTAATTTGGATAAATGTGTTGCTCCGAAAGGCTAAGAAAATATGGATTAAAAAAACATTGATCAGTGGAAAATGTACGAAGGAAATCTTTTCTTAGATATGATTTCGAACCATGCTTCGTAGATTATGATAAGAAAAACACTGAGTAGATCCATATAACTTTTAAGTATTTCCATTAATTGTGCCGTTAACCTCCCTCGGAGTTTATTCAACAAAATCAATTCCATCGAAAAGTAGTTTTACTAATGGAAAAGTTGTAAAATTGCAGAATAGAACACAGTGATACATAATAACGTATCTGTACACCATCGAGAGACGTCATGTTAATCAGATTCGTTGTATTTTCATTTAATCGTGATAAAGAATGTGGAATGATTTTTCTGACCAGAAAATTTAATATTTGTCTAAACCTAATGTGTTAAATAACAATTTATATCTAAACTAAAATTCTGATACGAAATATCAATCAAACATTCTAAAAATCACATTTGAGGAACAGTATCAGTCGGACTCTTTTTATTGGTTAATGTTTTTTCTCGATGTTTTCTTAGCATTCTGGATCTCTTAAAAGTCTATATGAAAAACTATGTGACAACTAGAGTGTTCTACTGTCAAACTAGTGATAGAACAAAACCGATTATTATCAACGATCGAATCTGATATACGAATTGACTGTTTCAAATGATATGCGTATAACGTAAGCAAGTACAATGAAACCAATTCTATCAGTGATTACTTTCGACAACCTCGTGTAACAGATTTGAGTAGAAATAATCTTTCAAAACTATTTTCAATATTTAGGGTGTGGGTGTGATGTGGGGGGGGGGGGTGTTGGCACGGACGCACGGTTAAAACAAAGATCACACCACCCAGCCACATCCATACCCCACACCCACACCCCACCCTTACTCTCAGTACTTATGTGCCAATTGTAGAATAACATTGGGTGGGGTGTGAGTGTGGGTGGGTGTAGGTGGGTGTGGATGTGGGTGGATGTCGGTGTACATGAACTCTTACATACACTCACACCCACACTCACACACAAAATTGAGCAATCATTAGTGGTTCAAATAATTTGAATTGTAGAATTTTCTTCACAAATAGTTGTCTAACTTAATTGTATCGATAACTTCGATATCGATTTTAAGTTAAAAAAAAAGATAGACAGATATTCTTATTCATTTAATAATGTATGTTAATTTTTGTTTATTTTCATAGAAAAAGAGAAGATTCAGGAAAATTTTATTTCAAAATATCTCATATGTTCGACTGCGATCAAATTGCGACGCAGTTGTTAAAAAAGTGGCGACATGGGATCAGTTAAATTTATAATGTTCTTAGAGTTATCTTATCAAAAATGAAATGATTAGCAGAAAATGATAGAAATGATGATCTCATTCACAACATCTTTCTTGCTCTGTTGAATTAAGCAAATAATAAAATCACTTTGGAAGAATCGGTAAAGAGTGTTGACAGATTGATAAAATTCTTCTAGAGAGACTTTATGAAGGAAGTCGCGAAAAAGTAACTTCTTTTCTTATACACCTATTTCGAATACTCAGTTTCCTTTTTGTGTACTCAAAAAGTGAGTACACTCTAGAATCGGTCAGTATGTCCGGCCGTCCGGCCGTTTACACGATAACTTTCGAAAGGAGAGTCAGATAGCGATGAAATTTTTTGCACAGTTCAGTCTTTACAATATCTCGGTCGAGTTCGAAGATGAGAAGGATCCGTCGAGAAATGACTGAGTTATAAAAAAAATTGTAATTTTTGACCAGATCATCCCTGAGGGGGAGTACAGGGATTTTTTCAAAAAAAAAATTTTTTTCTCTGAATTATTCACAACATATATAAATCGACTCAGTTTTTAACGCTGATTCTGAATCTGATATTAGTTTTGAACCGAATCATAGTTTTGTGTACTCAAAAAGTT